GGGATCATTTCAACATTTTATTATCAATATGACAGCGAAATATCTCCTAAAGGTAAAACTACTCACAAGACAAGCGCTCAAGGAAATTATAAAAAGTAAAATAAAACAACGATAATAATTTAAATGACAGTTAAAAACAAAAAACAGGAGAAATATTTAAAGTAAGAAAATTAAATGAAAATTTTGAGTCTAAAAGTAAGAAAAAAAAGAAAAAACTCTTTAAAAATATAAGAAAATATAAAAAATATTTTAAAAATATATAAATTAAAGAAACGTCTACAGTTGAATAAAATGTTTCAGAGACTAAATTATGATAAATTCAGTAAACTATAAAATTAACTAAACGAACCTTTAAACAAATAAAAAATGTAACTTTGTTCGTGTGGGCGGGGCTAACAGTCCCTGATTGATCTGTCATTTACCTGCTTGCTCCTTCAGGACCCTCCTACGCCCCCTCCTCCTGATGCAGAGCGTTTGTTTATCTGCGCATGTCTGCTCAGGTGTCAGAGTTGACTCCTCGCTCACTTTTGTGAACGCACCCAGCTGTTCACACCTGAGACTTTCCCACGGCCTGCCTCCCCCCCGGACACCTCCTATATCCTCCTCGCGGGCGGCACACGCCATGTGTCTTCTCACCTGAACAAAAGCTCGTGCCGCCTCTCGTCGGGCCATTTGGGCACGTGTTGGAGGACAAAAGGAGGCGACGGAGGTGTGAAGCCTTTCAGGTCCTTCCGACGGCAGTAAAACCTCCTCAGGAGGAGGAGCAGAGCTCGGGCTGATGGAGCGCTGGGCCTCCTCTTCCTCACTTCAGAGACACAGACACGCGAGGAAACCTGCTGACCTTTAACCTCTGACTTTCGCTCAATGTAAACGAAGCTTTACCTGCGATGCTGTGACGCAGGCTGTCACGAGTCCGCGGCATTTCACCTGATCAATAAAGGTGTAAACAAAACCAAAACAAAAGCAGCAACTGAGGCTCACCTGCATCAACCTGTCGCTCCCGTGCGCAGGGGCACGCGCACATACTCATTTGGAGGAGGCGAAGCGCGTGGCGCGCGTGTGTCTGAGGAGGAGGGGGGAGGTCTGATCGATAAGCAGATGGCGCGCGATTGAATATGTGCATATTGTCCGCTGATGCTTCCTGCTGGTGTGTGCACGCGCCCTCACTCCCCGGGGTGCCGACGCTGCACGTGCTCATCAGGTAAAAAAGACGCTCTAAAGCTCGAAACGCGCCACATTAGAACTCAGTCATGTAATAAACGGAGGACATTTTTCATAATTTCATTAATAAATCACACACACATACACACACAGATAACAGAACCAGCATACTTTATTAATCCCTGAGGAAATTATGTGGGTGCAGTTACTGCAGTACAGTAACATTAACAAAAACTATTTAACAATACAATATGTCAGGATATAAGGAATGGCACAATATATAGAAACCAACAAATAATAAGTTTCCAGGGTTGGCAGATGTGATTATAAGTAAATATCTTGAAAATTGACAGCAACATTACCGAATAAGAAAGAGAAAGGGAGTAACTGTTACAGTGTTTACAGTGTGTTAGATGGAGGAGTTGTACAGGGAGATGACCACGGGCAGGAATGATGTCCTGTGTCGTTCAGTGGTGCTTTTTGGTGCCCTCAGTCTCTCACTGAACGCGCTCCTGTGACTGACCAGCACGCCATAGAGTGGGTGGGAGGGGGTGTCCAACATTGTCTTTATCTTGGACAACATCCGCCTCTCCGACACTTTAAGGGAGTCCAGCTCCAGCCCCACAACATTACTGGCCTTGTGGATCAGTTTATTTAGTCTGTTAGCATCAGCAAACAGCCTGCTGCCCCAGCATGCAACAGCA